TAACAAATTATATTACATATAGGCTCGTATAGGCTCGCAAGCCTATACGAGCTTATATGTAATATAATTTCTTATTTTTTATGTATTAAAATAAAAATATTTGGGGAATTATGGATTTAGGGTATTAGTAAATAAACTTCTTAATGAGCTCGAACCGAGCTTAAGATTATTTACGAACATTAGACAAAAAAAATGAACCAAGCTTGTATAATTTTTTACGAGCTCGGTACGAGAAAGCTCAAATTGAGCCAAGTTTGATCTCGATCCTCGTATAACTTGCATGAGCCAAGCCTAGCCAAGCTCAAGCTCATCTCGTGTTGTTTGCACTCGTAATCAGGGAATAAATTTCCTTGGGCTCTGGCTAATTGTACACATCGCATCCTCTCCTTTGATTATTTTAAATTTAATTATGAAAAATATTTTGCAATTCCATAGTTTGACTTTGGAATCACACAAGTGGTCATCCAATTCTCTCAAACCAAGTCTCTAAAACCAACTTGTAACATCCCAAAAACCATGATAAAAAATTTTGTTTTATAAAGAAACCATAGGTAAAAGGCTAGTGTATTCGAATCATATCTAAGAAAAATCAGAGTATCAAGTCAATCGCTCAAAACATAAAACAATAGGAGGACGTGTACGATTACTCCTTCTCCTTCCCCTGATCATCAGAAGTACTGAAACATTGAAATCAAAATCTGTAACCTAAATCTTAGTGAGTTCCCCCAGTATACCCCACACAACAATACATATAAAATGCATGCACAGCGGGCCCACAATATAACACTAGATTACCTCTAGGCTCACAGTCATCGGACTGTATTGCCCCCTGGCCCACAGCCATCAAACTGTATTGCCCCCGTCCCACAACACACGACTGAAATGCCCCGAGTTTGTTGGCTTAAAGCACAAAGTTGTACCACCTCAACCCACCCGTACTATGTCGACATATACAACAGATAAACAATAACTAACAACTACATGTAATCCTATAGATCTATCAATCTAACATATCACTATAGTATACCAACATCCAACACACAAGGACACATACTGCAATACAAAGTATAGTGAGAAAACTCATCATACAGTCTATAAGATAACAATAATGATCATCGATCTGATAACCAGCTCTAGAAGTCACATATACAGCAAACAAGGACAATTCCTCAAACTACAACCCAAAATCCTAAGTTTGACCTAAGGTCACACTTGGTCAAGAAAAGTCAACAATCCAGTCATAGTCAACACTCAAAAAGTCATTCAGTCGGTCGCCACATCATGACCACCCTTTGGTTACATCGCGGCATAATGGAGACAAAATAGTCGCAGATCAGCCTTCGTCATGACATGATGACCAAAGTGTCACGTCGTAAGAAACGCTCTAGTCAACCTAATGCATTAAGCTCTTAATCCTTTTCCCCACCCATCCATACTTTCCAAAAGGATTTCATGCTCCTAGAAGATCCTAAAAATCATTGCTTTATAGACATGCATGTCTTGAACTCAAACTAGGTCAAAAGTGGTGTCAAATGGGGTCAAGATCTCATGCAAGAGTTCAAAACTCTATCAAAATTTAGATCCATCACTTATAACCACAAAAGGACTATGGGGATACATAAAGTTGGCAGCTTTTTGGAACCCCAACACTCCAACTAGCCTAAACATTAAGAAAAACACATGAAACCTAGATATAAGATCTTAGGATCATAAAGCATCGAACTTGGATACTCACAAATGTCCAAAGTGTATGAGAAAAGATGATGGTGAGGCTTGCAATCTGAGATGATGCATCGAAACTCTTTCTCTTCTTCTTCTTGGCTAAAAATCACCAAAAATGGAGCTTAAGGTTAACTATGGGAGATTAGGGTTTTTGGAGGTTGAAGGGAGGTGGTGGAGGCTTAGGGTGAGCAAACCCTAGCCCCAACTTCCCTTAAATATGGGAACAATCCCCGAAATTAGGGTTTTGGCCCTCTAGGGCCGTCACGTCATCGTGACAGTTAAATGGGATGCATGTTTTCCTAGGCACGGTCATTTTGTGACACAAGTTCTTATGTCGTGACCAAGATTTAAATCCTTAAATATTTAATTTAACAAATTGAAAGCAATGCGTACCTGGAACTGGGTGTTACAAGGAATATGGTCCAAACTTGTTCGTCCCATAATATTAGCTACAACATACTTCGAGATAAAGGGTCAGTTTTTACACTTATTGAGAGAAAATTCTTTCACATAAGAAGATGATGAAGACAGGCATCAACATATGGAGAACATAATAGAGATAGATGACTACTTCAACACTGTTGGAGTTACTAAAGATGTTATGATGCTTCGAATGTTCCTAAACACTCCAAGCAGCTACTAAATATTGGTTAAAAGTTGAACATGATAGAACAATCACTACATGGGAACAGTTGAAGACCAAATACGTAAAGTAATTCAGATCGCCATCAAAGATTGGCAAAATGAAGATGAAGATCCAAAACATTCAGAAATTAAAAGATGAGACATTATATAATGCATGAGATAGTTACAAGGAGATGTTTCAAAATTACCTACGACATGATCTTAATGTGCACTAAATTATTCAAACATTCTACAATGGGATACATGTGAGCACTCGTCAAATGATTGATTCTCAAGGACCAATTCTCAAAAAGATCCTAGTTGATGGTTACGCTTTTATTGAGGAACTAACTCAACACTCTGATGAATGGCATTCTTCATGAGATTCATCTATACGAAAAAAAGATCAATTGGCAAAAGTACTAGATGCCTTACAACGTTAATTCCAAATTTAGATGCATTGGGAAAAGATATGAAAAAGTTCAATCAAACCATTCATGTTATTTAAGTAGGGTGTGATAACTATAGTGGTACACATCTTACAAAATATTTTCTTTTATATGAAGATGGAAACAAGAGAGCTCAAATGTGATACTCATCTGACGATAGATACAATTATTGGAAGCCTTGAAACAACGATTGGAAGCCTTACAATGAATACTGTAAGGAGATGGCTAGGAAATATAGGCAATGAGGGCAAAGTTTCTACCAAAAAGAACGGAACAAGTGGTACAAGAAAAGAAACCAACTTTGCAAGACATGTTGACCCGATTTTCCGAAGCATCCAACAAATGACATAAAGATAGGTAAGAGATGGTGAGAAAGATTATGCCAACAATAGAAACCGCACTTAGAAAATAGCAAACTTCAATTTTAAACATCGAAAATCAAGTGGGCCAAATATCTCGAGTGTTACAATAGAGTTTTACAATAACTTTACCAAGTAACAGGGAAACAAATCCCAAAGCACATGTCAAAGGCCGTTATGAGTCGAAATGGTAAAATTCTCGAACCTTTAGTTCTTATTTCCACAAATAAATATTCTTGTGTGCAGAATTCTAAAAAAGAAAAAGAAACTGAACAAGTTGCTCTGCAAATGTATTGCATATAGGAGAACACGATGGATTTGAGTGTACCAATTTTGTCTCCGATGGTTAAACCATACAAGCCATCGGTTCCATTGCTATAATGTTAGCAACAACAGAAGCAAAAGGAAGAGCATCACAAATTTCTTGATCACATAAAGTCTCTACACATCAACATTACATTTATCGAAATCGTTGCTCAAGTGCCAAAATATGTCAAGTTTTTGAAAGATTTGTTCAGCAATCAAAAGAAGTTGAAGGAAGCTTCAAGTATTGTGTTAAACAAACAATGTTCAGTTGCTATGTTGAAAATACCGACAAAAATGAGGGATCCAAAGAGTTTGAATTTACCTTGTCAATTTGATAATCTAACCACTAGCCATGCTTTAGCGAATTCGGGTGCAAGTACAAATCTCATGCCTTATTCTTTCTATTCAAAGCTCAACTTGACCGAATCAAAACCGACTCGAATGGCGATACATTTGGCCAATAGATTGGTGACTTATCCATAGAGAATATTAGAAGACTTATTGGTTAATGTAGGCAAGTCCGTGTTTCAGATTGATTTTGGGGTGTTAGGCATGAAAGAAGATTGTCAAATTCCTATTATCTTTGGAATACCAAACCGACTCGAATGATGATACATTTGGCCAATAGATTGGTTACTTATCCAAAGAGAATATCAGAAGACTTATTGGTTAAAGTAGACAAGTCCGTGTTTCCGGTTGATCTTGTGGTGTTAGACATGAAGAAAGATTGTCAAATTCTTATTATCCTTGGAATACCATTTTTTAGCACCATGGGATAGTTGGTTGATATACATGGTTCGAAACTTGCACATAGAGTCGGATTGATGTGATTACATTTGGTATTGATTAATTAATGAAGCATTCATAAACTAGCACTATCAATTTGTATGACTATCAAAGAAGATTCGAAGGGTAACATATACCTCTGCTATGTAGACTTCATAGTAGCTTGATTTTTCTTGATCAGTTTCCAATCATGTGGAGATTGTTAGAGAAAATAAACCACAAAATTCCGACCCAGTAAATTTTCATAAAGTTTATATGATTTTTCAAGGACAATGTATAACCTTAATTTCAAAACTATATTGCACCTTGAAATTTTCAAAACTTGGAAAATCTAGATATATTTGTGTTAATAATATTATGATGCATTTCTAATGAATATACAAAAAAGAATATGGTGTCATTTTTACAAAGGCTTAATGGGACTAAAACAATGTTAAATAAACAATGTTATCAAGCAATGTTTAAACAAATTCTAGCATCAAAATTATGTACAAACAAATTTTTAATATAATAATTCAAGGCAGAAATTGCAAAATACCATTTTGCTATTTGCTCTACAAACTTAATCCAATGTCATTTTGCAATTTTATAAACATCATATGCCATTTTCAAAGCTCAATAACAAGCAGATAATCATATTATTTCAATGATTTCATTTAATCTTATAAACTAAAATGTCACTAAAGAAGAAAGAAAGTCACTACTTCATAAAACCTTATAATAACTCAATCTAAGAACAAAAAGAAAAACACCTTTATGCACTTGCCTTCTCACCTGACACGTCATCCTCCTCCTCCCCCTCCTCCGCCTTCACCTCACCATCCACCACCCTCTCACCACCATCATCACCCTTCAACTTAAGTGGCAAGAAATTAGAGTACACAGATGTGATACTAGCTTTCGCCTTCTCAGCTTCCTCAGCCTCTTTAGCTGCCACCTCAGCTTTCTCTCTCTCAATATCCGCCATTAACTTCACCAAATCATCCTCCCTATCTTCTTTCTTTAACTCTTCCCTTACAAAAACCTGCAACTCATCAGAAAACTCCAATGGCTCCTCCCTCAACATTCTACCAATCATTTCAAGAACTTCATCATGTTTCTTGATGTCAAACAAAGCTTTCATTATAAACTTGTAGCTATCATCATCCATTTTTAGCTTAGGCACCATCATATCAAAGAAAGATTTTGCATCATCAACTTTCCCAACTTTTATTAACCCATCCATTAACCGATTGTAAACTGTTAGATTTGGCCTCAGTTTGGATTCAATCATTGTTTTGAAATATGCAGCTGCATCTTCTGGGCGATTTTCTTGGAAACAAGTGTCCATTAATACAACAAAAGTGTGTTCATCTGGGGTTACCTGTTTTTCGTTCATAGTGTTGTAGAGTTCTTCTGCTTTAGATAACATTCCATTGTTGCACAATTGCTCGATTAGATTGTTGAATGAAAGAGTGTCTGGATGACATCGTGTCTTCCCCATTTGATTGAAGGTGTTTATTGCTTCATCGAATCTTTTTTCTGCACAGTAGCCATCCACCATTAGATTATAGCTACCGAGATTGACTCTGAGAAGTATAGGAGGGTTGTGCTCTTGTAGCATTCTATCTAACAGCTTCAGTGCGATATCGAACTTTCCATTTTTAGACAGGGCGTCCAGTAAGGAATTATACGCCATTGCACTCATCCTGATCTTTGATTCCTCACGCAGAGCTTCTTCGTAGCATTCCATAGCCTCCTTCTCCATTCCTTTCAAGAAATACGCTTTCATCACACTGCCATAAACAACGCCATCATGAACAAATCCACCTAATTTCTCTTTCAATTCCTCGTACAGATTGAAGATTCCATCAGGGTTCTCGTTCTTTGCTTGCCCAGTCATCAAATGATAATAAACAGTTGGATCGGCTTCAAACCCTTTCGATAACATGTCGTCTTTGATTTCCAAAGCCTTCTCCAGCTTATCGTTGTCAACAAGCCCTTTTACTATAATCCGGAATGTCGTTGTGTTGGGTTCAAAAGGAGCATTATCGATTAATTGTTTGTAGTGTTCCAAAGCGGTATCGATTTTCCGGCAATCCATATAGGTGTTGATGATGAGGTTATAAGAGACGATGTTCGCCGCGATAGCTGCTTGCGTGATGAAACGGTGAAGGTTAAGGAGATCTGCGTATTTAGACTGCCGAAGACAGGCGTTCATGACGGCGTTACATGTGAAGATGGTGGGTTTGCAGTTGGAGTAGACTGAGTGACGCGTCAAGAGAACGGCTTCTTGTAAATCATTTTCGCGGATGAGTTTGAGAATACGGTTATGGAGCTCGAGGCGTTTGCCGGTGAGAACAGAGACGTGTTCGGGGATTTTTGGGGCGTTAGGGTTTTGATTTGGGGTCGGAGTAGGTCGAGGCTGCGATTGGGTGTTGGAGCGGAGAGCGTTAAGAGGGGGTTCGATACGGAGGCGACGTTTTCGGCGGCGACGTTCTGCGGCGGCGTCTTCTGGTGTGGCAAATGATAAATGTCGGAGAGATATGACGGCAGGGCGTAGCGGGTGGTGGTGGGTTCTCACCAGCAGTTTGAGGTGATTTAAGAAAGCTGGTTTCGAAAGAGCCATTTGCTTTAATCTTGAGAGAAAGTGATTTAGGGTTCTTGAAGAGGGTTTAAGAGGTGATGCAATGGAGGAGAAGATAGGGGCAGAGTGTATTCGACGGGATTATTGTGGATTTGGGTATGGGCTTTATTATACTGAAATTGTCGTACTTGTACATTCTGCAGTTTTACTTGTACATAAATGTTATTCGACAATGAATATACAATTTTATGGTAATTTAAAAATTTTAACACAAATTTTATTAAATATATTGAAATCAGATTAAAATAATTATCTTCTTCTTATCGACATATTTAAATATAAAAAGACAAATAAATATTTACATCCAAATAAACATATCACATACTTATTGTTTAAATAAAATTAAAAACAAAAATACAAACTCCAATATTTGTTTAGTTTTTGATAATATATTAGTTATTAAATACTTACATTTAAAAATAAAAAATAAATATAATTCTTAAACAAATTGTGAGATCGAAATGAGATTGAAATTTCCATCTTAACTTAACTTTTTAATTAAATTGATTAAAACCGGTGACGTTCTCATTAAATACCTTGGAAATCTTAATTCAACATGTTAATTATTGTGATTCAATTCATATTTAATCCACAATTGCATCGTTTTTTGCCACCATCAAACCATATTTAGCTATAATGTGACAATTTATTGTCAAGGTGGCAAAAAAAAACAATAATTTTTTAAAACGACTAAATTGAATAAAAAAACAAAACTCTAGCAGGAAACTAGAGAAAAAAGAATTAGATAAGAGTGTTTAAAATGGGACTAGTAACCCACAATTCCAATATAAATGGAACTTATGTTTCGTATAAACCACCCAATCAAAAGAAGCTACAATACCATCAACTAGACTATATTTTCCTATCAACTAGACTATAAAAAGAAGTAGCTACAATACCATCAACTAGACGATCAAAAGAAGTTGCTACAATACAATCAAAAGAAGTAGTTACAATACCATCAACTAGACTGTCTTTATAGGAAAAACCAGATCAAACAAGTATTACTATTTATTCTTGAATTTCCATAAATGCCACTAAGTCGTAGAAAATATTTCATCAAACACCATCCTATCGTTGTGGCTGGAGAAATTTGATAGGAAGAGACAAAACCTTCAAAGTTAATAACCATAATTAAGGAGGAGAAATCAAAATCACACCACTAAAAAAAAACCTTCTTTGGCCACCTGACACCCTAGAAAAAGATGATTAACCGCCACCTCATTATTACAAATCGGGCAAAGAGAACTGTGAACATGAATACCTCGCACCAAAAGATTATCTTTAGAATAGAGTTGATTCAAAAGTAATCTCTAACGCAAAATGTTAATATAATGTCCCAAAAAATCCAGAGAGATTTGTGTTCATAAAATAGATTAATCAGTTAAACATTTGTTTTAAAAAAACACATTAAGTAACATTTGTTAAATTGAAACTATATATTATTAGAGTTAAATTTACAAAACAATGGAAACAAATATCTTTTGATGTGTATGTACAGTGTCGTCAAGCTCTGCTCAGGAACAGCCTGCAAAATATTTAATCCACAACTATAAGCATAAAACTTAGTGAGTTCCCCAGTATACCACATATTTCACTATACATTCAATACATCCATTGCTACGAGACACATCCTGATCTTCCATAAATTGCCAAGGACCAAATCTTAGTGTTCCATACAGTGCAAAACCATACATAGTAAGGAATAAGAAAGACAGTCGAACAGATGATCCACCCACAAGTAATAAATCAGATAAGAACCATGCAATCAGCATTAGACCAAGAGTTCCCATGTTATCCAACTTGACTACACACAACCCTTAAAGTAATCATTCAACAGATGTATAATACTATCATTACCCTAACCAATCATGACACCTCGCAGTATTATGTATTCCCCAAGCAAGACTCTATCAGTCTAGCATACCATGACACCAAGTGTCCTACACCGTACATGCATAACAAGGAGTTATCCTAGTCAACTAGCATACTTGTACACTAACGGTACATCTATCCTACCATGCAAAGGATATACAATAGGATATATGGCACAATGAGAAACTCACCTGAATCGTAGAATCGGAGAAGCATAGCTCTTACACCTTGTACTAATCAATCTCGCGAACTGACTAACACCAAAAGAGATGAATCCTCAGTTAGCAACCCAAGTGATGTGTATTATATATATATATATATATATATATATATATATATATATATATATATATATTAATTGCTCATGTTTTAAATTTATAAAACTGATTTTATCGCAACTAGACTAACACACACTGAGCAGTGAACCTAATCGTGTAATAGTATAGTTGTGGTAAGAAAAGGTGTCGAACATAAGGGAAACAATGGTGAATTAATTTGGAGTTTTTTATTATAGGTTACACTAAACACACAAAAGCTATAAAGAAGAGTTTTATGGAATTAAATCTCAAACAAAAGACTAAACAACAAATATCAATAAACTGACCGAACACAAATATTTTTAGGTACTTTTATTTAGACAAATTACATCTTAAAATCATAGATAATTGCACACACAAATTTATTTATTCGTGTTCATCGATTCCTAAAATAACTAGCTCTAGTTCTAGATAATTAATCCTTTGATTTTAACACAACTATTAATCCATTGATCAAGTGAACAAAAAAATAATGAAAATCAGTATTTAGTTCGTATTAAGCAAGATTTGATCTTTATTAATCCTAGTGGTCATAGGAATTAACTTATGCATAGATTGGTCGTCTACTCACGCATACACATTAAAATTCATCACTTTATTTTCTAACCTTAAGTTTTGTTCAAAACTCTAGTGGGCAGCCTTGATTCAAATTAACACAGAGCAAAGGGTTCAAACACCCAAATCAGAAAGTAAATGTATCAAAAATCACATTGGAAAGCTAATTGTGGTCATAACAATGAACCAAATGATTTCTAGCATGAATCCGCTCTCCAGTCCTTCAGATCTTTGGTCATGTCAACTTAACGACCTTCCAGCCGCCTTCTAGATCCTCACAGCTACTTCTTGGGGATTTATAATCGTAAGATTCAGTCTAGGGTTTAAGGTATATCATTAGGGCTAATTTTCAGCTCTATTTATAGGTTTCAGCGTCACCACGTCGTGGTCCTCATAGAAATCTCGTATTCTCCAAGTCAGCGTCAAGAATCGCGATGTTTCCATTCACCACATTGTGGTGGTGATCACCATGTCATGTTCGTTAGGAATCAGACTTTTATGAAAACACGAAAGTAATCTGAAATTGTGTGTAGTTTTTAGAACATTTTGAATCTCGTCAATCGGAGTTACGAGTCATTAGATGTGTCTAAAACACTAATGATTAGGGTTGTAAACGAACCAAACGAACACGAACAAGGTCTTGTTCATGTTCGTTCGTTTAAGTTAGCCGAACAACAAACGAACACAAATAGATAAACGAACAAAATATTCTTGTTCATGTTCGTTCGTTTATCAAATTACTTTGTTCATGTTCGTTCGTTTATGTTCGTGAACATGCTAAACGAACATAAACGAACAAACATAAACGAACAAAGATAAAAAAAAAAAAAAACACAATTGAACATATATGAACATAAAAGAACATATAATATAGCAATATTATAAAAAAAAAATAAATATAAATAAACTTAAACAAACGAACATAAACGAACGTAAATGAACATCATAAACGAACGTTCACGAACATAAATGAACGAACGAGACCATTGTTCATGTTCGTTCATTTAACTTAACGAACGATAATTTTTGTTCGTGTTCGTTCATTTATTAAATAAACGAACATAAACGAACTTTCCGCCGAACAATTCACGAACGGTTCGCCGAACGTTCAATTCGTTTACAGCCTAGGTCTATATCCTAATTAGGGGTGTGCGCGGTGCGGTTTCGAGTCAAAACCGCAAACCGCACCGCATATGCGGTTTGAATATTTTAGAAACCGCAAACCGCACCACAGATGTTCAAAACCGCATGATGCGGTGCGGTTTGATGCGGGCGGTTTATGCAGTTTAGTTGCGGTTTGTGCGGTTTAACATTAAATTTATATGAGTTGTTTAACATTAAATCTATCAAAAAACTAAAAACCTGACCGGGTTAAAAAAAATGATTGCTTTCATTTTATAAAAACAAATACAATTTTCGAGTTAAATCGTTTTTAATAAATTGTGACTCATGTTACTATAGTTTTGTAAGTATCATTGTTAATGCTTTATATTGCCGTTATAAATGATACATTCTTTAAACCATGAGATCTTGATCTAATAGTGATTTAATGTTACGTTATAGATATTTGGTTATTGTAAGAAATATATTTATATACATCATTTCTAAATTGTGATTTGAAGTTATAACAAAATAAAGAAAAAAAAGTATATATATAACATGCGGTGCGGTGCGGTTTGAACCGTAGTTTTATAAATACAAACCGCAAACCACACCGCATAGTGCGGTTTGATAAAATGATGAACCGCAAACCGCACCGCGAAATTCTAAACCGCATTATGCGGTACGGTTTGGTGCGGTGCGGACGGTTTGTGCGCTTTGTGCGGTTTTTTGCACAGCCCTAATCCTAATTACACTCAATGCGATTTTGTTAAGTGCCAATGAAATAACTAAAATTCTTATATTCTTTTTCACTTTTTCTAATTTTATATTCACTTTTTTAGATTTATTATTATTATTGAATTAAGGGCCCATTCCACTGCCACCAGCCCACCACCATATATCACATCGACCGCATACTACCAACGTATACCGCTAATGTTGTGTCGTTTCTACCTATGTTGTCGCCAGACTCACCGTCCACCACCATCTTTTTATTTTTAATTTTTTTTTTATTATCAAAACAATCGGAACTGCTTTTTCAAAAAGAACATTCATCTATATTTCTATTTTACATGAGCTTATAAGTATTAATTTATTACAATTACAATTAAATTTTCAACACATACAGTTTAC